GTTAATTTTTGGGAGCTATTTTATCGTGGTTTCACTCGTTACTTTCTGGAACCCCGGCTTCACAGGGTCAGCGTTAGATGTAGGGGCCAGTTATGAAAATTCAGAAGCCAGCAGTAAAGGAGGGCAGGAGTGAAGTATCTTTGAAAAGTGAGGTGCTCACTGTGAAGAAACTTCTGCTTTGCTTCCTGGCAGTGACCGGTGCTGGACTGGGCAAGTTCAGAAGTACACGCACGGTCCGTTCTTGGCCAGTTGTCCACCTTTACAAAATGCATTGCCTAGCTCGAATGAGGGAGGAGGAGAGTTTTCACTTGGAGAGCTGTCAATCGCGGGGAATCATCCAGGAGGTCATTAGGTTACTGTGATGATGCAGCTGCTGCTGCTGCTGCTGCTGGATTAGCCTCGGGGAATGCAAGCAGGACAGTTTCAGCTAAGGCATGAAACTGTTCGGTGTTTACAGCTAAGGGATGAAACATAGAGACTGCGTCATAAAATGTCTTCATACACACATGACATTCAAGTGAAATCCTTCTATTCTATTTCAAGCCTAAGGTTGTGTGTTAGTAAAAAGCTTTCGCGCACTAAATCATTCCAGCCCTTCGCTGCTCTTCCTTTCCATCAGTTTGCGTCTAAGCCGTGCTCGAAAGAGGAACCCGTCGGCAGCTTTGCCAGCGTGCAATTGCTGCTGGCACGTGCTACTAGCGCTCCAGCTACTTCCGAGTCCTTCATCCCTCGTATTCGTATACGGGGGAGTTTTAAAGTTTGACCTTCCCGGATTATAATTTGTAATTTTAATTTTAGATGGTATGTGTTTGTGTAAGAAGTAAGTGAATAAAAGGGGGATGTGAATAAGTTAAAATCTGAATAAGAATATTTCGGTCCATCAAGTCGCATACATTCCTGTTCAATGCTGTAACTGGGCCTCGTCAGTGTGACAGTTGCAGTAATGAACAGGAATGTATGCGACTTGCTTTTCCTACTTTGGTATACTAATAGCGTGTTTTTTTTTTTTTCAGGCCCAGTAATGGTTCGTATTGCGCGGCATCCGGTCGTTCCCATCGAAATGTAGATGTATACCTCAGCGCGTTATCTCAGCACTCATGCGCGTTTCATTTGTTGAAATTGTAAGTTTCATTCCAGTCACCGACTTTTAGTAGGTTTTTCATGCGTTTTGTGCTGTGTAACAGCAGTACAAAACGCATATTGTCACGGGGTTGTCTGT